AGAAGCAGAAGATATTAAGAGGTGCAAAAATACACAGAACTATACAAGAAAGGCCTTAATGACCCAGATAACAATGATGGGTGGTCACTCACCTAGTGTTGGACATCCTGGAGTGAGAAGTCAAGTGGACCTTAGGAAGCATATTATGAACAAAGCAAGTTGAAGTGATGGAATTCTAGCTGAGCTATTTCAAATTCTAAAAGATGATGCTGTGAAAGTGATGTACTCAACATGCCAGCAAATGTGGAAAACTCAGCAGTGGCCACAGGCCTGGAGGAGTTCAGTTTCCATTTCAATCCCACAGAAGGGCAATGCTAAAGAATACTCCAACTACCATACAATTGCACTCATTTCACATACTATCAAGGTAATGTTCAAAATTCTTCAAGCTAGGCTACAGCAGTATGTGAACAAAGAAACTTCAGATGTACAGGCTGGGTTTAGAAAGGGCAGAGGAACCAGAGATCAAATTGGCAACATTCACTGGATCATGGAGAAAGCAAGGGAGATCCAAAAAAACATCTACTTCTGCCTCATCAACTAAGCTAAAGCCTTTGACTGTGTGGATCACAACGAACGGTGGAAAATTATTAAAGAGATGAGAGTAGCAGAACACCTTACCTGTCTTCTAAGAAACCTATATGCAGATTAGAAACAACAATTAGAAATGGACATGGAATAATGGCCTGGTCAAAATTAGGAAAGGAGTACAAGGCTGTATATTGTCACCTTGCTTATTTCACTTATATGCAGAGTACATCATGCAAAGTGCCAGGCTGGATGAAGCACAAGCTGGAGTATAAGACTGCTTGGAGAAGTATCAACAATCTCAGATATGTAGATAATACCACTCTAATGGCAGAAAGTGAAGAGGAACTGAAGAGCCTCTTGATGAAGGTGAAAGAGGAGAGTGAAAAAGTTGCCTTGAAACTCAACATTCAAAAAAACAAGATCATGGCATCTGGTGCCATCACTTAATGGCAAAAAGTGGAAGCAGTGACAGGAGGCAAAAAGTGGAAGAAGTGACAGGTTATATTTTCTTGGGTTCCAAAATCACTGTGAATGGTGACTGCAGCCATGAAATAAAAAGATGCTTGCTGCTTGGAAGGAAAGCAATGACAAACCTAGATAGTGTATTAAAAAGCAGAGACTTCACTTTGCTGACAAAGGTTCTTTAGTCAAAGCTATGGTTTTTCCAGTAGTCATGTACAGATTGGGAGAGTTTTTTAAAAGGTCCTAAATTCACATTACTAAATTGTTTCCCATAAAGTTTATATTGCAAATTTGAAATTCTTGCTGGGACCTGTATTTGTCAGAATTGAATATTTTCTTTTTTTAAATGTCTTAATATATTTTAAATGAAACTTGTGTTGAACACTGTTCCTTCCGTCTGTTGTTCTCATTGTATGTTATTGTTGTTCAGTTGCTAAATTGTGTCCAACACTTTGTGACCCCATTCTGTAGCACACCAGGCTTCTCTGTCCTCCCAAGAAAGGCTGAGTGCTGAAGAATTGATCCTTTCAAATTGTGGTGTTGGAGAAGACTCATGAGAGTCCCTTGAACTGCAAGATCAAACCAGTCGTTCCTAAAGGAAATCAACCCTGAATATTCTTTGGAAGGACAAATGCTGAAACTGAAGCTCCAATACTTTGGCCACCTGATATGAAGAGTTGACTCATTGGAAAAGACTCTGGTGCTGGGAAAGATTGAAGGCAAAAGGAGAAGGGGGTAGCAGAGGACAAGATGGTTAGATAGCAACACCAATCCAACCGACATGAATGTGAAAAAACTGTTGGGGATGGTGGAGGACAGAGGAGCCTGCTGTGCTCTGGTATGGGGTCACAAAGAGTGGGTCATAACTGGAGAGACTGAAGAACAACAACAGACAATGACGTAAAATTGATCCACTTGTGTTGTTTTAGGGACTTAATTACAGTAAAGGAAGAAAAAGTGATATGTCCCAACAGATGATTATTTCCAAAAGATAAAAGCTGTAAATAAGCTAAAGTACCAACATCAGAAAAACAATTAAGGAAAAGTGATACATAACATGGACAGATTTTGTTCTCTGATATGACAGTGCCTAGAACTTAGTAGATACTCAATAAATATTTGTTTAATAAATAATAGTTTTTTCACAGAAAATTAAATTTTAACCATGAAGATTATAGAAAACTATAAAATGACTGTGATATAAAGTTAAAAATATGACAATATTTATTGAGGTACTACTGTGTGACTGGAACTGTAGTAAAACCTAGGTATAGAATAATGACCGAGTGATGAACAAAATGATCTGTTCTCACTGAGAGCTCAGACCAATAGAGATTTCAGAGTCAATACTGACATTCAATTAATGCTGTGTGTGTGTGAAAGGTGCTCAGTCGTGTCCAACTCTTTGTGACCCCATGGGCTGTAGACTGCCAGGCTCCTCTGTCCATGGAATTCTCCAGGCAAGAATACTGGAGTGGGTTGCCATTTCCTTCACCAGGGGATCTTCCCAAACCAGGGATCAAACCCAGGTCTCCCACATTGCAGGCAGATTCTTTATAGTCTGTGCCACCAGGGAAGCCCATAAATGCTGTAACATATATTTTTACTAAACGGCAATCTTTAGGAGAGGTTCTTAGACTTTCAATCAAATTTATTTTCAAATTATAAACTATTTAGCAACCTTGATATTTAACTTCCCAGAAAATGAAAGTGAAAGTTGCGTTCAACTCTTTGAGACTCCATGGACTATGCAGTCCATAGAATTCTCCAGGCCAGAATGCTGGAGTGGGTAACCTTTCCCTTCTCCAGGGGATCTTCCTAACTCAGGGATCGAACCCAGGTCTCCCACATTGCAGGTGGATTCTTAAACAGCTGAGCCACAAGAGAAGCCCAAGAATACTGGAGTGGGTAGCCTTTCGCTTCTCCAGCAGATCTTCTCGATCCAGGGATTGAACCGGGGTCTCCTGCATTGCAGGTGGATTCTTTACCAACTGAGCTATGAGGGAAGCCCCTAACTTTTGGGAACTGAACAAATTAAAAGCAACAGGTTAAAAATGGGGTATCTGAAAAATGTAGGTATATATATTACCCAAAAGAGAAGAATCGGTTAAAAAAAATGAAAATGTTTGCATTTCAATTTGTCAGAAATTGTGGTCACAAAGATGCAATGAGTCAAATGTTAAAATATATTCTTTTGTTTAAGGAAGGAATTAAGTTCTAACAAATTTTAGAAAGATTTTCATTAAAATATTTTGATACAGAAATAAGCTTTGGAAAGCTGAAAAAATGAAAAATTCAATAACATTACAATGACCAATGCACTGGTTATTGGATTTTTTTTCCTCAGTCTGCCTAGGTGCTCTTTATTTTATAAAGCTGAAGTAAATATGTAGGTATATTCCCTACCACTGCACAACAACTAATTTCCTGGTGGTTTTATTAGGAAGTGATAAACTAGGCTAACTGTTTGAGAGCTTTGATAAAATTGATGGTGATTATAGTATAATGTTGTAAAAATAAAATAACCTAATGAATACAAGGTAGTAGCATGGAGGATAGCATATCAAGTGCTCAACAAATGTGTGTATTTAAAACAGTAAAAATGTTGGCAGTTTATTGCCCTTACAGTTAGAATGCAATTTGGAATTTGAAACTTCATTTTTTAAAAAAAATTTCTTAATGAAAAGATTCATAAAAATATATGTGCTATTTTATATATACAAACACACACACACATATATATACACATAAGCAGGATGCAGATATATAAACATCACAAAAAAATTCTTTGGGCAATAAATCAAGCAGAAATATTTTTGCAAAAACATGGCACCACAATTCTAATAGTGGTTACTATTAGATATAATTCATTTATAGGCTGCTTACTTCCAAAAAGGATTTGATGTGACTTTTTGTTGAAAAGCAGTTTTTAATTAAGAGTAAAAACAAACTAAAACACTGTAAACTGGGAAAGGAAAAAAATTAAAATCTTGGGACAAAACATTTCTTAATATTTAGAAACAGGTTATAGGTGCCACATCCATCATTGAATACAAAGAAGGAACACTAATTTAAGATCTTTTTAAACAGCTGCACAATGTGGCTTCTGGGGGAGGAAAAACCTTTTCTCTACCCCCTTGTTTGTCTCTGGAAGCCTTTAAATTAAACTGACAATAAGACAAGAGGAAAGGCAAAATTTATTCACAAGCTCACAAAGGTCATGGTTCAAAGAAATGGCTAGAATTTAGTTTAAATACCATCTTAATAGGGGAAGAGGAGGGGGAGAAAGGATACTTAACAGTCATACAAATGACTTTTAGGGAAGACAAAATGGACCTTTAGGAAAATAGATGGGAGTTATGATAATCTTGTGACAATGTCTGTTTAATGCGATTTCTCATCTGGAAATCTTCCTTAAAAAGGATTTGAGGCATTTGAATTCTTTTGGAAGTGTCTGCTTTTAGACAGATAGTGGGGGTGGGAGGCGGTTCAGACGAAGTCTTTTTTTTTAACTTCTGTTGTTTCTTAGACATCTTCAGCTCAAAATAATCTTTATGCCATAGTATATTCTGGATGCCTTCATAGATTCAGAAAAAGATGATCAAGAGAGAATAAATATGATGTCAAGAAAAATACACTGGCAAGATCATAAATAGTCCTAGTAAAAATATCAGTCAGCCATGAAAATTCTAAAGGATATAATTTTACATTGATAAATTTTCATTATCTTTATCCATAATAAGACTATCCTTAAATGTATTAGAAGTTAAAACCTCTGGAAAATAAGAACATTTATTGGAAGTAAAATGGGTTTTTTATAAAGCATACTTTATCTCCTAACTTTACCAGTTTTTTTTTCACTCTGGAATAAAGAGGTGGAGGGGAAAAAAGTCCTTGGAAATACCTAATTGAGAATAAGGCACTGGTTGTCTTCTAGGTTTAATAAAGAATTTCTGAAGATAATATAAATTCAGTTATCATCATCTTTATAGATATTTTAAAATTACCTCTAATTTCTTGGCACAAGGTCCACTAACAAGCGCAACCACACCATGGTCAGATACCTAAGCAAAGGGAAAAAGAACACAGCACATAAATGGAGAAGATGGAAGCATATTTTTCTAAAAATTGTTATTTAGATATTGTTTTATTTCCTCCCATTTAGTAAACATGTGTTTTAGCCACACATACCTTCCACCCTTACTTAAAACAATTGAGGGGAGGGTGCAAATTATATTGCAATTATTTAACTATCAAAGTATGAAGTAAATAATTTCAGCAACAACAAAAAAAATTGTGTTCTGATGAGTTATGGAAATACACTGGGCAAATAAATACATACAGTCTCTACATTTCAAGTGTTATTTCATTTACCTGAGTAGCTGAAAAATCAACACACTGCAAAAATGCGCAGTTTTCTCCTAATGCCTGCAAGGACACATCAGTAATACCTAAGCAGCCTCCTAAATCAATGATCTTTAACAGCCGGCAATTGAGTGCAAGAGCAAGGACTCCTTCATCAGTGAGATTGCAGCATCTTTTCAAAGAAGCTTCATGCAGGTAAGAGCAAGATGAAGCCACAGCTTTTATTCCTGAGGGAAAATAGAATTCTGTATCAATGAGCTATAGATGTTTATATATGAGAAATGTGACTGATTTTTATTTTAGTAATCACCAGTACTGATACATCCAATTAGCCTTTTCCAAAGTAGTTCATGTGGGGAATATACTATTTTTTTCAGTGATGCTGTCATTATTTAAAACTCTTTTAGAATGTTTCGAGAATTCTCTATACAATCTGTAGTATATTCTTCAGAATATCTGCAATTAATGACATGACTTTTTTATGATTAGATTTGCTTTTAGGAAATGACCAAAAATCATTCAGAACCAAATTAGGTAATTAAATAGTAGATGATTCTCCTTTTTGTTAAAAGTTTTAAAGTAATAAAGTTAATTTTCTTATAGACTCTGAAAAGAAATCAAAAGTTAAATGCCACAAATGTCTTAAGTAATAGCTTTCATGCTTATCCTTAGAAATCATACCCAGGTTTCTGGGTTTTCTCCTCCCTCTTGATTCTACCCTTTCCTACCACCATGCTCCTTCTTTGGTAGCCTGGATGAATCTCAGATTTTACCAGGGGTCAAGAAAAGAGAGGCCCTTAAATCCAATTAAACTGATGTAAAAGCATTTTGGTGACAGGTATATGATGATGTGCCATATAAATAAAAAGAGTACTGAAGGAATGCTGGGCTCTTCAATCATGGACAAACATTATAGCACTGTTAAAAGACATCTTTATGGGCAAAATACACAAAATGGAAGATGGTAAATTTGTGTGTAGGTCATTTTTATTGTTTACTATGTCTTAAGAAAGAACTCTTACTTTATTCATTAGTGTTCAGCATGAAAGTTCTTTTTAGAGAGTCAGTATTTGTGTAAACATTTTAAAACTTATGCTTCCCTGCAATATTATGAATATCCTAACTTGCTAACCAAGCTAATTGTAAAATAGAGCCAACTACCTACAAAATTCTCCAGAAACCTAGGTAGCCAAATAACTCCCTCTTTCTTATATTGAAAAGAGTAAAAATTTTAATATTTTTAAAAAATGGTAAAAATCCATTAATTCATGTAACAGTCACACTGATACATGCAGTCTGCCTGGTTATAAAACACTGTAACTGGACAAGGTCGGTACCAAACCCAATTTCATCTTCCTGAAACTCAGAAGATCAATACTCAAGAGACAAGTGTTGGTGGAAAACTTAAAGTTGCTTTAGTCAGGAAGCCGGCAAGCTGGGCAGATGGTAGACTGACGTCCTTAAGAGCATCTCCAAGTTGCCAGTTGGGAGATAAAGGTTCTAAAGCCTGTGTGAGGGAGGGGGCTGCAAGGTACACAAGCAGTTCATACACAGTTCTCAGATTGGTTGGCATCAAGGTAAAGTTTCAAACATCACCAGTCTTCTGGTTTCAACTGGTCTGGGGTCTACATGCTTGCAGTCAGCAGTTTTCATCTGGTCTGCTTCCTGTGAAAACAACTTACGAGTGTGTGTTAGATCTTTATATCTTTCAGAGAACTGGGCATTTAGTGATTTTGCTATGTGACTGGCTTATAGTCTACACTGTTTCAGCTTCCCTGCCCATGTCCTTGAGGTTGATATCTGGAATTAAGCAAGCAAGATTAGTTCTTTCTTAGTCAATTAGTCATTGTCTAAAATAGTTTTGAGGCATGCTTAGGTCAGCAGGAGTGGAAAATACATGTTTCAAATTTTGTGCAGCTCAAAATGGGGCAACTTGAAAATACACATTTCAAGTTTTGTGCAGCTCAAGATGGGGCAGTTCTGGCTACAAAACTATGTGTTATGCAGGCTGATAGGAGAGAACCTAGTAAATATTTGCTAATGATTTAACTTTCTGTTGTAATATTACAACAAAAAAGTCTTAACAACGTTATGAACTGGTCATTTCTTGTTTCACTATACTAGGCAAAATATTTAAAATATTTATCTAGTCATGTTTATTTTAAATATGTTTAAAATTTAAGTAGTGACAATGTATTTCCTAACTTTCAGCACTGATTATAAGCAAGAATTCTAATTAGGATTCTCTAGTTTATTTTGAATATTTTTATTGATAAATATAGTTTCTATTTCTTTGACACCTTCAAATTGTTCATGGGGTTCTCAGAACTGACTCATTGGAAAAGACCCTGATGTTGGGAAAGATTGAAGGTGGGAAGAGAAGGGGACGACAGAGGATGAGATGGTTTGATGGCACCACCGACTAAATGGACATGAGTTTGAGCAAGCTCTGGGAGTTGGTGATGGACAGGGAAGCCTGGCGTGCTGTAGTCCATGGGGTAGCAAAGAGTTGGACACGACTGAGCGACTGAACTGACTGACTGACATCGTCATACTATCTTTTAACATATTTTCCCCTTCTCTGCTCCAAAACTATGGTGAATAGTCCTCTACCAATTCGTTCAGTGTTAACAAACATACCTTTTGAAGTTATGGAAATTCGGTTTTCTTTTGAGGAATTTAAATTTAATTTCTTCAGTTTTCTGCAGTTACATAGGTGCAGGAGAGCAGTATCTGAAATATCACAGCTTCGTAGATCTAGAGTTTGGACTTCAGGATGTAAAATCTATAATACATACATTATTTTGAAAAATTAAAATTTCCTATAAACATAAATATTTATTCCATATTCAGTGTTTTAATGGTCATAACAGAGAAGTGGCAGGTGAAAACTATAGCAAAGAATACAGAAATGCATTTGTGTGAAGACAGATACAAAAAGCAAAAAAAATCAAGTCTACTTCCAACTGAGGGTGCAGCTTATAGTGTTCCCAAAGTCTTATTGTGACACAGAGCTCTACTGGGACAGCTGGTACAGAATAAGAACACATTAGATATGGAAGCAGAACCAAGGTAGTGGGGTGCTTATCCTCTTCCAGTAGTTTCTGACTATTATGAGAGATTCTAGCTATGTGCCTCTTTGCTCAGCAGGTACGAGTCTTTAATTTCTGTAGGCAGGGAGTGATGATAGTTGCAAACCCATTTTACAGTTAAGAGAACTGAAGTTCAATGTCAGAAAGAGTGGCAAAGCTGGTATTTTTATTCAGGTCAGAAGCTTTACTATACATTCTCCTTTACAGAATTGTTAATTTTAGCTTAATTAGGGAAAGGGCTTCCTAGGAAGCTCAGTTGGTAAAGAATCTGCCTATAATGTGGGAGACCTGGGTTCAGTCCCTGGATACAGAAGATCCCCTGGAGAAGGGCATGGCAACCCACTCAGTATTCTTGCCTGGAGAATCCCATGGACAGAGGAGTCTAGTGGGTTATAGTCCATGGGGTCGCAAAGAGTCAGACACAACTGAGCAACTAACATATATATAGGGAAAGGGAGTAAGTATAAGTTAGATGGAGTGAGGTAGCCAGAAGAAGAATGAAGAGTATAGAAGAATGATTTTTAACTGATTGTTATCCCTGAATGGATAAAATCAATCTAGTAGGCTATGATCAACATTTTTTAATTGAAATAAGACATACTAGAATAAAATAGAAAATATCTAAGTGTACTGCACACTGTACTGTTACACGTAGGTGTGGTTTGTGTCCTAGAGTCACAATGTAACATTCCTATTTCTTCTTGTGGGTCTTTTTTTTGTCATTTGTTTTTTCACTCTGCATTTTAATTTTTTCTAGATTTACTAAGGTATACTTAACCAAAAAGTTTAAAATTTCTTGAAAATATGCAGTTCATGGATGTTGATACCATGAAGACAAGGGGGAATAACTGAAGGAACAGTGGGAGAAGAGTTTTAATTTTTATTTGTTTTTTGGCTGCTCGGCATGTGGGATCTTAGTTCCCCAACCAGGAATGAAATCTGTACCCCCTGCATTGGAAGCGCTGAGTCTTAACCTCTGGACCCCCAGGGAAGTCGAGAGATTCCCCCAGGAAGTCAATGGGAGATTTTTTTAGAAGCTATTACACAAGGACATTATGGTTATCTGGAGAAAAAAGAACTTTAGTATATTCTAAAATTACTCATCCTAATATAAAACATTGTTCCAAAAATCTGAAACCATAGCTGAACAGTAAAATATAATAAGTTTGCTTTACAATTGTATATATTCTTACCTCACTTATGTTTGAATCTGTTATCTGCCCCTGCACGCTCATAATTTTGATGAGTCTATCTTTTATGTTGGGTGGCAAAGGCTTAATGTCTGTGATATATCTAGAAATATTCTTCATGAAGCACCAAAGGCATCTGAAATACAAATACAATACAGTAAATTACACTATACAGGTATTGACTCCTAATATTTGTTTAATGCAGTTGTTAGTACTTAGTTCTTTCATAAACAAGAAAGAAAAAATGGGTGTATATTTTATATGAATATTTACAACTTAAGTTTGATAAGATTCAAAAGCCTCAGTTATGAACAAGTTGCCCTTTACCTCTATAACTTTTTCTCAGCATCCATCACTTACTAAAATGCATTCTAAATGACAAAAAATTTTTCTTAAGTCAGTCTCTCTAATTCCTAAGATATGCAGTTACCACCAAGCTTTCAGTCACATATATTCCTAAGTACACTCTAAACTAGGGCTGATTAATTGACAAATTTTATGTGTTAATCCAACAAACTTGCTTTCACTATTTTTCTTAAAAATTGTACAGGTATAAGAACCAAGAAAGAACTGTAACCACAAAGATTCCACAAACAGTACAAATCAGAGAGAGTAACCTTAGTGCCAGTATTATATATCACAGATTTAGAGCAGGCAACAACCAAGACCCATACAACCAACATACTTCATATTGATATGTGGCCGGAAATTCCAACTATCTGAGATACTTGTATGTTAAATAAATACAAATATTTCTTAGTTTCTGCCCATAAATACTTTCACATATACACACTTCAATTTTTTAGTGCAGTCTTTTCTTTTCTTTTCTTTTGTTTGCCTCTGCCTTTCTTTCTCCTATCTTTCCCCCTTCCATTAGTTTAGTTCCTCATGCTATTCCTTGTATATTCTTATTTTTTCTCTGTGCTTGTACACACACACACACATTCATTCATACATGTATCTATGTTCTCACACATACATTTAAAGGTTAGGTTGGGGGTGGGGAGAGATCACTGTTTCTTAGAATGGCATCAGTGTATACTCACTTTTCTACAAACTCTTTCATTTAATAATAATTCTTCAAAGTATCAAGTATAGTTTTAATTCTCCTTTAGTGGCTAAATTTTATAGCGTGGATGACTTAGTCATCCCCTATTGAGGAGCATTCCACTGTTTCTAGGATATATTAACATATGTTGTCAGATTATTTTCTTCATATTTCCATCAGCAGTGTTGGAGAGTTCCTTTTCTTCTATATCGCTAAGCAACAGATGTTATTGTTCATTTTACTTATTTATTTTTCCATTTATTTTCATTATGTCCATTTCCCAATCTCATCCCCCCACTTTAGGAAATCATTCTAATGTCCAATGTGTATCTTTTTGTTGTATGTAGCCTTTTAATATGATTGTTCTATGGAAGTATTTCTAATCTATGTGTGTGATATTTGTCATAGATTTGTTTAGTTTTTCACTGAGCACTATTTTTAAGATCTGCTTACTCTTAAATGTTGGCAGATATCACGGGTGAAAAGTAGTATCTCATTACTACTTTAATTCTTATTTCTCTAATTGCTAGTAAATTTAACATCTTTTCATAAAGTTGCTGGCTATCTAGCTATTCTTTCCTCAAAATAATCTATTCATATCCTTTACCTATTTTGCTATGTTTTTTACTTAAATTTATGGGCTATTTTTGTGGTCAAATACATGACTGATTTTGTATACTATGCTCTATAAATATTCAGAAAATGTATATTTTCTATCTGAGAGTTGTAACGTTCTCTTTCTGTGTTTTATATATGCATGTCTAAATATCTCTCTCCATGTACGTACATGTATGTGCACACAAATATATTATGTGTGTTAGTGTTAATCTCTCAGTTGTGTCCAACACTTTGCAACCCCATGGACTGTAGCATACCAGGCTCTTCTGTCCGTGGGAGTTTTCAGGCAAGAACCCATTTCCTTCTCCAAGGGATCTTCCCAACCCATGGATCGAACCCAGGCCTCTGGCATTGCAGACAGGTTCTTTACCATCTGAGCCACTGTGTATGTGATTATTCATTGATTAGTATCATTTAATTCTTCTATGTTCTTATTCTTTCTACTATATCTGTAGAATTCTTAGTTTGCAATACTTGTATTTTTTAAAAAATAGTTATTTATTTGGCTGTGCTGGGTCTTAGTTGCAGCATGTGGGATCTTAGTTCCCTGACCAGGGATGGAAGCCATGCCACTTGCAGTGAGAATGTGGAGTCTTAATCACTGGACCACAAGGGAAGTCCCTTACCTTTCATTTTTGACTTAAAAACTCTCTTGTAATTGATTTTTGTAATTATCAAGAGTCGTGCAGAATCTGAGAGTTGATCCTACTTACTAGTTTATGAGTTAGCTTTAATACCATTTTATGAATGCTGGCAGAAGTATGCTGGGTCAGTGAAAAACAACTTTATTACTCATGATAAGAACAGTAGCCAGGGAACTTCCCTGGGGGTCCAGTGGTTAAGAATCTGCCTGCCAATGCAGGGGACTGGGGTTTGAACACTGGTCCAGGAATTAAGAACCCACGTGCTGCTGAGTAACTTAACCCCACACTTCACAACCACAAGCCTGTGCACCCTAGAGCCTGTGCTCCATAACAAGAGAAGCCACAGCAATGAGCAGAGTAGCTCCTGGTTGCAGCAACTAGAGAAAGCCTATGGGCAGCAACAAAGACCTAGCTCAGTCAAAAATAAATAAATTAAAAAAAGAAAAAGAGTAGTAGCTGGAGCTTCATGTTTGTGTTGGTTCTCCATGCCTCAGGCGCTACAGTATAATGTAGGAAGGCTGGTCCAGATAGATGTTTACTCATGTAGTAAGTTTGTATTACAAGACAGAAACACTGAGCTTGAGGGGGTTCATCATTTTTATGGCAAACTGAAGCAAGATTGCTCTTTTTGGAAGGAGAAAATACTTCATCTCTCAAGGCTGTTTACTACTAATGCAACCTTGAGAAATGGCCTAGGTAATCAAGGCCCTGCATTCTTGGTATACCCAGCAAGAATGTGCAGGTCCATGTGTTGCCTCTTCCAACAATCCATCCCAATAAGTTCTTGGCTGAACTCAAATATTCATGGAAGTATGCCACTCTATCAGCTACTTTAATTTGACCAACAGAGGCTAAAACCTAATCTGTTCAATTTGTCTCTTAAAGCACTTAATTAAAGCTACTATCAATAGCCAACTCATTGGAAAAGACCCTGATCCAAGGAAATATTGGAAAGCAAAGGAGAAATGGGTGGCAGAGGATGAGGTAGTTAGATAGCATCACTGACTCAATGGACATGAAATTGAGCAAACTGTTGGAGATAGTGGAGGACAGAGGAGCTTGGTATGCTACAGTCCATAGGGTCACAAAGAGTTGGATATATGACTTAGTGAGTGGACAACTATCAATAGTACTCCAAGTAGCAGGATAAGGCTAACCTGCAGTAATGACCTCAAAAGTAACTGCTGGGCCCCAGATTCAGCTAACTGTGAAAAAGTGTGGAGTGGGGGAAGGGAACCAGTAGGTCTTACTTGCAACACACAGGATGTGGTCAAAGTCCAGTCTATCACCTCTTATGAAACATACAAGGGAGTTTAGGTGGTTATGTCAATGACTACACTTTTCTTTCTTAGGGCTTTTAATTGTTTTTATCTGTTATTTTATCTATATTCATCTCTTAAGGATAACTGTTCCTTTGTTTTTGAACATTTCCAATATATTTGTTTTAAAATATCTTTCAAGTTATTCTATTGTCTGTAGTTAATAACGTGTCAATTGTCCTATTTTCTGTTGGGTCTCTTTCATGCTATTTTTGTTCTTTAGGTACTTTAAATTTTGACTGTTAACACTTCTTTGGCAGAAGTAGTTTGCGTGAGAATCCTGTGTCCTTTGTGTTGTGAAAGCAAACCTCATGGTGAAAGTTTGAGTTTTCCTCCTCTTAAGGGCATTGTCTTTGTCTGGTTGAATTGCAATAACAAAATGCCATAGATTGGATAGATTTGTTAAACAAAAGCACTTTAATTTTCACAGTTCTGGATGCTAGAAGTGTAAGATCAAAGTGGTTGAGTTAGGGCTCTCTTCCTGATTCACAGCTGGCACCTTCTCTATGTGTCCTCTTATGGTAGAAGGGGCTAGGGATTTCTCTGGAGCTTCTTTGTAAAGGCACTAATCCAGTTTGTAAGATTTTGAAGTGGAGCAGGACCCTATCATCCCTACCCCTACCCCATGTCCTCTGTCTGCCTTTTGTCTGTGGAAAACTTTAGTCAAAGAGAAAGTGAGAAATGAGAATTTAATCAGAGAAGTGAGAAATGTGGAAAACAAAGAAAAACAGTCAAAAGAGATCAAATAATAATGTAGGCATTAAGCACAGTCAAGGACCTTTAGTTCTTTCTCAAGGGCTACAGATAATATTCTGAGCCATATCCTGTGAACTGTCTTATAGATATTAAAACATAGGCGCGAAGAAGTTAACTACATAATGACCAGACTGTACCCATGACATGAGCTGTCATAATTCCTAGAACTGGCCTCAAGGAAATGGTAACAAATGGATTTTGGAACTGAAGATTAACTGTACCTAAAACAAACAATTAAAACCAATTAAAAGACACTTGCTCCTTGGAAGAAAAGCTATGACAAACCTAGACAACATATTAAAAAGCAGAAATATTACTTTGCCAACTAAGGTCCATATAGTCAAAGCTATGGTTTTTTCAGGAGTCATGTATGGATGGACCATAAGAAAGCTGAGTGCCAAAGAATTGATGCTTTTGAACTGTGGTGTTGGAGAAGACTTTTGAGAGTCCCTTGGACTGCAAGGAGATCCAATCAGTCTATCCAAAAGGAAATCAGTCCTGAATATTCATTGGAAGGACTGATGCTAAAGCTGAAGCTCCAATACTTTGACCACCTGATATAAAGAACTAACTTACTGGAAAAGACTCTGATGCTGGAAAAGATTGAAGGCAGGAGGAGAAAGGGATGACAGAGGATAAGATGATTAGATGGCATCACTGACTTGATGGACATGAATTTGAGCAAGCTTCAGGAGTTGGTAATGGGCAGGGAAGCCTGGCATGCTGCAGTCCATGGGGTCACAGAGTCAGA